TGTCCAGGCTGTTCACTCTGGTTTGCAATGAAATCCTTGCCTATAGCTCACGGAAGCCAAGCTGGGCTGAAGGAGGACTTAAGGAAAGGGAAGTGTCCAGATGAACCAGAAGATTGCACAGGGCAGAGTTTCTCAATATTTTAAGCATTAGAACCACCTGGAAGGTGAAAGCACAGACTCCTCACGCCCAGCCTCTGATTCAGTGGATCTGCAGTGGAGCCTGAGAATTCGTGTTTCTAACAAGTACCCAAGTGACCTGAGTACTGCCAGTCATGGAACCACACTGTAAGAGCCTCTGGCCTAGAGAAAAAAACGGGGGGTCACAAAGATCCCACAAAGACAATACAGTTTTTCTTTCCTTCCAGCTTTCATTTGCTAATTAGGGTCCTATTCACAAGGTGAAGGTACTTACTAGTGGCTATTTGTCTACTTAAGGGATGATGTTGCTTCAGCAGTGATTAAACTTTCAAATGACATTTTCCTACATGTAAACCAGTTAGTTCAACCTGCCGTAGACGGGTGAAAGTCTTCTATGAAACATGGTATTTTAAGTTAAACTCTTCTATAAATGTGGTGAGAAAATTTAAACTGAAAGCACTTTTTGAGACCATATGTGGTAAACTGAAAACTAAAACCTAACCAGCGAGGCTTTGCCAAGCCAACACCACTCCTGGTTTTCCATCTCTAACCAGGAAGTGGTCAGCATGGAAGGCTGAACAGTTCTTGGCTGAGATAGATGCTGTGTTGACAGCCACAGCAGGGAGGCTGCAGCCAGGTCGGGACTTTGCACCTCAGCTTCTTAAGTGTGGGCTCCCTGTCTGCCCTCTTTTTCCTTTTGGCTTCCAAATATAGCCAATCACTCAGTGCTCTAACTCAAGTCCTATCCTCTTTCTTTCTTCCTACAGGCCAAGAGCAATGAAAATCTGGATCAAGTTAAGTTAGTATTTTAAGGACATGCTTAACTTTGGAGAGCATTCTTAGTTATATGTTTTCATGGTATGCATTATACCCAATACACAAAAATATCTCCATTTTTTTTCATTCTTACTAAACTCAGGACCTGTAATGTTACCGACCAATCTTACACAAGCACACTTCTCTGTTGTTTTTGTTTTTTAATAAACATCCAGGCTCCTAAGCTTGACTTACATATAAGTGGATATTCTGTTGAGATTGAACCTCTTTATATCTGCATAGCTTTACCAGCAGAACTGACAGCTGGCATTATCTGTGTCAGCAGAATTTAACTCTTTGTCTAGGAATTTTTGTCCAAGAAGTTAAAGCTACAAAATAATAATTAAACATGACTCTTTTCCAAAAAACTACGGTGAACCAATTGGTCCTGGGCTAGCAGCTTGTTTAGCAAATAGTAGAAAACTTATCAAGAGTCACTTCAAGGCCCTAACACAGCTGTATACACTAATGCCAAACTATTATATCTTGAACTTTGCCCAATCTTAATCAGTTCCCCACTGTGAATGACCCACCCTAAATGACATTAGCTAGAACTCCAATCCTATAGATATCCTCCCCTGACTTCCCTACTTCAAGACCCAGTAGGATGTCAAGATGGGCTTCTTTTTCAGGGCAACAGGTCTAATAAAACCACCCTAGCACAAGGCAGTAGGTTTTCTGGTGGTCTTGTGGGGATTAAAACATGGATACTATCCATCTAGTATATACACTATCTACAAGATTTGTAATATTAAAACGTTGAGATCACTCTTTTCCTCAACACACAAAATCTTTTTCCTCTCCCTGTGTTAAAATACCATTTTAAATGACCAAGTTAATAGCCAGAAGTACTATTATCACCCAGCAGTCTTCAAAAATTTTATAAGAATTTTATAAAACTGTATATGCTCCTACAAATTTTTCATTTACACCTAAAACTCTCATAAGTTACAAAACTATGATGTCTAGCATCTTTTAAAAGCTGATGTTTTAAAATAAAACTTTTATCACTGTTACAGTCTTCTGTTGCATGTATTACATTGAATGAAATCCCATAACCACTAATATTATCATCCTTGAATTTTTAAAAACAGTATTTAACAGAAATTTCATATTGTTACTTTAATATTCTGAACTAGTTTTTTCATTCCATTTTTCTCACATACTTTTATCTTCATGTAATTTAATTTATGACTAAAAACTTTTTTTTTTTGAGATGGAGTCTTGCTCTGTTGCCCAGGCTGGAGTGCAGTGGCGCAATTTCGGCTCACTGCAACCTCCACCTCCTGGGTTCAAGTAATTCTCTTGCCTCAGCCTCCTGAGTAGCTGGGATTATAGGCACGTGCCACCACACCCAGCTAATTTTTGCATTTTTAGTAGAGACAGGATTTCACCATGTTGATTAGGCTGGTCTCAAACTCTTGCCCTTGTGAGCCGCCCGCCTCCACCTCCCAAAATGCTGGGATCACAAGCTGAGCCACTGTGCCCAGGCAAAAACTAACTTATTTATTTTTCACTTTTATCTTAGGTTTAGAAGGTACATGTGCAGGTTTGTTACCTTGGTGTATTGCAAGATGCTGAGGTTTGAGCTATGATTGATTTCATCACCCAGGTAGTGAGCATAGTAACCAAAAGGTAGCTCTTCAGCCCTTGTCCCCTCCCATTCTTCCCCCTCTGACAGTCCCCAGTGTCTGTTATTCCCATCTTTGTGTTCATGTGTAGCCAATGTTTAGCTCTCACTTATAAGTGAGAACATGCAGTATTTGCTTTTCTGCTCCTATAATTTTCTTAGGATAATGACTGCCAGCTGTAACCATGTTGCTGCAAAGGATGATTTTGTTCTTTTTTTCTGACTGCACAGTATTCCATGCGGTACATGTACCACGTTTTCTTTACCCATTCCACCACTGATGGGCACCTACGTTGATTCCATGTCTTTGCTATTGTGAATAGTGCTGCAATGGACATACAAATGCATGTGTCTTTTTGACAGAACAATCTATTTTCCTTTGGGTATATACTCACGAGTGGAATTGACACGTCGAATGGTATAATTCTGTTTTGAGTTCTTTGAGAAATCTCCACATTGCTTTCCACAGTGGTTGAACTAATTCACATTCCCACCAACAGCATATAAGCATTCCCTTTTTCCTGCAGCCTCACCAGCATTGATTATTTTTTGACTTTTTAATAATAGCCATTCTGACTGGTATGAGACGGTATCTCATTGTGGTTTTGATTTGCATTTCTTTGATGATTAGCGATGTTGAGTAATTTATCATGTTTGTTGGCCTCTTGTATGTCTTGTTTTGTGAAGTGTCTATTCATGTTCTTTCTTACTTTTTAGGGGGTAATTTGTTTTTTGCTTGTTGATTTTTTTTACATTCCTTATAAATTTGACATTGGTTGGCTATGAGACGTTGTCAGCTGCATAATTTGTATATATTTTCTTCCATTCTTAGGGTGTCTGTTTACCCTGTTGGTAGTTTCTTCAGCTGTGCAGAGAAGCTCTTTCATTTAATTAGGTTCTATCTTTTTGTTTCTGTTGCAATTGCTTTTGAGGTCTTAGCCATAAATTCTTTGCCAAGGCCGATGTTCAGAATACTACTCCCTAGATTTTCTTCTAGGATTTTTATAGATTGATGTCTTACATCTAAATCTATGATTTATCTTGAGTTAATTTTTTTATATAGTGAAAGCAGGGGTCCTATTTTATTCTTCTGTATATGGTTAGTCAGTTTTCTCAGCACCATTTACTGAACAGGGTGTTGTTTCCCCATTGCTTACTTTTTCTTTATTTTGTCAGAAATCAGATGGTTGTAGGTATGCACTTGTATTTCTAGTTTCTCTATTCTGTTCCATTGGTCTGTGTGTCTGTTTTTGTACCAGTATCACTTTTTTGGGTTACTGTAGTCCTATGGTCTAGTCTGAAGTCAGGTGACGCCTCCAGCTTTGTTCTTTTTTTGCTTACGATTGCCTTGGCTCTTGGGGCTTTTTTGAGTTCCGTATGAATTTTAGAGTAGTTTTTTTCTAATTCTATAAAAAAATCACATTGGTAGTTAGATGAGAATAGCACTGAATCAGTAGACTGCTTTGAGCAGCATGGCCATATTAATGATATTGATCCTTCCAATCCATGAGCATGGGATTTTTTTTTTTTTCTTTTTACAAACAGAGGTTTTATTGCGTTTGGTCCACAGCTGGGTTTCACATTATCTCATGGAGCAGGGCCCCCGGGTGAGGGTCCCTGTGCAGTACTGGGTGGGGTGTGTTGCCTGAGGAGATGGAGCAGTATAGCTGGTCAGGCCCAGAAGGGGAGGAGGAGGGCCGGGGCTCCTGAAAACCTACTGAAGGGCCGGGCACAGTGGCTCACGCCTGTAATCCTAGTATTTGGGGAGGCCGAGGTGGGGGGATCACCTGAGGCCAGGAGTTCGAGAGCAGCCTGGCCACCATGGTGAAACCCTGTCTCTCTACCAAAAATACAAAAATTAGCCAGTGTGGTGGAGCACCTGCAGTCCCAGCTACTTGGGAGGCTGAGGCCAGGGAATCCCTTGAGCTCGGGAGGGGGAGGTGCAGTGGGCGAAGATTGCCCCACGGCACTCCAGCCTGGGTAACAGCCACAACTAAAAGAAACCCACTGGGGCTACGGGGAGGGCGGGGTAGCATGGAGACGGGGTCAGACTTGCCCCCAACAACTCAGAATTCCGCTGCCTTGTACAGGCCTCACTTTCCCCACCAGGCCCCGGGGCAGGTCTGAGGGCCCAAGGGAAATCCAGCCACTTGGGAGCCTGAGATATTCAGCATCCTGGGGATCCTTTCCAGGGGACTCACTGCCCGGCACCCACTCCCCATTCCTTGCGGGGGGAAAAAAAGTATTTTTCTTTTGTTACTACTTCCTGAAACTTTTGCGGGTACAGAAACCACAAACTGATCGGGTGACAAAGAGACGAGGCAACCGGAAGTCTTCAGGGACCGGTTCCCTCCAAGCCCAGGCTTCTTCTCCCCAGCACAGCTCGGCCCACAGCCTGGACGTGCCAGCAGGGACCCTGACCCTACAGGCATCAGGATACGGCCTTGACCCCTTCCCCCGCCAGCCCGGTGGCTCAGTCCTGTGAAGGATTAAGGCTAGGGGGAGAAAGCCCTGCCTCCTGATCCCAGGAGCCACTCACAGACCCTCGGCTGATTGGCAGCACTGAACAGGTCAATAAAAAAAAAGCTGAAAACACAGAGAACCCCAGAAACCCAGACGGGGAGACGGCGTGGGGAGAGAGCGTGCTGGGAGCCTCAGTAGCCCGCCTCCTCCTGGTAGTAAGGGGGATATTCGGGGGCCTCCCGCGGGTCGGGGCGGTCGCCAGCGTCGGAGGGCGCCCCGTCGGCCACTGTGCCTTGCGGGCAGTACTTGGGGTCGTATATCTGCCGGCCCAGGCCGAAGACCTGGCCGCTCTGGTTGGCCCCCTGCGTGTAGCCCATCTGCAGGGACATGGAGGAGTTGTCACACTTGTCGGTTCCCAGCTTGGTGTCGTAGATGTGCCGCCGCGTCCCGGGAGTCGTCATGCCCACCTGGCTGGCACACTTGTTGGTGCCCATCTGGAAGCTGTTGGTCGAGTGGTCCATGGGGGGCAAGATGTGGTTCTTGGGGTCGTAGAGATGCCTCCTCGTGCCGTACGCGGTCATGCCCGACTGGCTGGCACATTTGTTGGTGCCCATCTGCAGCCCGATGACACACTGGCCGGCCTTCATGGTGGCGTCATCGAAGTTCTGCTCCTGCTTCTCCAAGTACTTGACGCCGATGTCCACCCCGCTCTGCAGCCCCTTAGTCTTGGCCTTCCCCGCCAGGGCCAGAAGAGACATCTGCACCTGCCTCAGGTTCCCGCTCTCAAACAGGTCGTTGGCCTCGAACAGGTCCACGGGGTTCATGCCGTAGCTGACCATGGCCTTGATGAAGTTGGAAAGGTTTTCCAGCTGGTGCCACTTCTGCATGGAGCGGTTGATCTTGGGGACTGAGCCTGGCTGCAGCTTGTTCATGAGTGTGCATAAGATGATCCCGTCCTTCAGGCCTTTCTGGAAGTCGGGGCCGATGGAGAGGCCGGTGAGTCCCTCGATCCAGCTTCAGAGCTCTGCCTCCTTCTGCGGGTCATACTTGGACAGGAGCCGGTTCTTGACCTCGGCCGACAGCCCGTACGACGGGCCCTTGTTGAACTGCGTGGAGCTCATGGCTGGCGCGCGCGTGGCGGGACGGGCCGGACGGGACGGGACCGGGATTTTTTTTTTTTAATTTCTGCCATTTATAATTTCTTTCAGCAGTGTTTTGTAGTTCTCCTCATAGAGATCTTTCACCTCCTCAGCTAGAAGTAATACTATTTTATTTATTTATTTATTTTTGGCTATTGTAAAAGGGATTGTATTATTGCTTTGGCTCTCTGCTTAAATGTTACTGGTGTATAGAAATGCTGCTAACCTTTGTATTAATAAATTGATTTTGTACCTGACACTTTAATGTAGTTATTTATCAGTTCCAGGAGGCTTTTGGCAGAATTTTTAGTTTTCTAGGTATAAAACTGTATTATCAGTAAAGAGAGATGATTTGACTTCTTCTTTTCCTATTGGATATCTTTTATTTCTTTCGCTTACCTGATTGCTGTGGTTATAATTTCCAGTAGTATGTTGAATAAGATTGGTGAGAGTGGGTATCCTTGACTTGTTCCAGTTCTTAAGGGGAGTGCTTCCAACCATTCAGAATGATGTTTCTTGTGAGTCTGTTGTAGATGACTCTTATTATTTTAAGGTATGTTCCTTCGATGCCTAGTTTGAAGTTTTTAATCATGAAGGAATGTTGGATTTTATTGAAAGCTTTTCTGCATTTATTAAGATATTCATATAGGGTTTGTTTTTAATTTTTTTATGCAGTGAATCACATTTATTGCTTTGCATATGTTGAACCAACCTTGTATCCCAAGAATAAAGCCTACTTCATCAAAGTCAATTAACTTTTTTTTTTTTTTTTTAAGATAGAGTCTCACTCTGCAACCCAGGCTGGAATGCAATGGTGTGATCTTGGTTCACTGTAACCTCCACCTCCCAGGTTCAAGCGATTCTCCTGCCTCAGCCTCCCAAGTAGCTGGGAATATATGCATGTGCCACCACGTCTGGCTAATTTTTGTATTTTTAGTAGAGCTGGGGCTTCACCATGTTGGCCAAGCTGGTCTCAAACTCCAGACCTCAGGTGATTCACCCACCTCAGCCTCCCAAAGTCTTGGGATTATAGGCGTGAGCCACCACACCTGGCCTGAATTAACTTTTTGATAAGCTATTGGGTTTGATTTGCTAGTATTTTTGTTGAGGTTTTTTACATTTATGTTTATCAAGTATATTGGCCTGTAACTTTCTTTTTCCATCATATCTTTGACAGATTTTGATAGCAGGGTGATGCTGGCTTTGTAAAATGAGTTAGGAGGAGTCATCCTTCTCCTCAATTTTTTGGAATAGTTTCAGCAGAATTGGTACAAACTCTCTTTTTGGTAGAATTTGGCAGTGAATCCATCTGGTCCAGGGCTCTTTTTTGGTTGGTAGGTTTTTATTATTAAGTCAAGTTTGGAACTCAATATTGTCCTGTTCAGTGTTTTAGTTTCTTCTTGATTTAATCTTGGGAGGTTGTGTGTCCAGAAATTTATTCATTTCCTCTAGATTTTCTAGTTTGTGTGTAGAGGTGCTTTTTTTTTTTTTTTTTTTTTTTTTTTTTTTTTTTTTTTTGATTCTCTAACTAGCAGTGTATCAATCTTGTTTATCTTTTCAAATAAACAACTTTTTGTTTTGTTGATTCGATGTATGGATTTCTGGATCTCCATTTAGTATGGTTCTGCTTTTATTTTAGTTATTTCTTTTCTTCTGTTAGCTTTGTTTTTTTTCCCTAGTTCCTCTAGTTTTGATATTAAATCAATGATTTGAGACCTCTCTCATTTCTTGATGTGCACATTTTGCACATAAACTTTTCTCTTAACACTGCTTTTGCTGAATCCCAGGGATTTTGTTTCTGTTTTTGTTTGTTTTTAAGAATTTTTGGATTTCTGTCTTAATTTCATTGTTTGCCCAAAAGTTATTCAGGAATAAGTTGTTTAATTTTCATGTAGTTTGTGGTTTTGAGAGATCTTCTTAGTACTGGTTTCTATTTTCATTCCACCGTGGTCCAAAAGTATGGTTGACATGATTTTGACTTGTTTGAATGTATTGAGACTTGCTTTATGGCCAAGCATGTGCTCAATCTTAGAGTATGTCCCACGTGCAGATGAGAAGAATATATATTCTGTGTTTGATGGGTAGAGCATTCTGTAGATATCTATTAGTTCTAATTGGTTAAGTGTTCAGTTTAAGTCTAGAATTTCTTTGTTAGTTCTCTGCCTCAATGATCTGTCTAATGCTATCATTGGGGCACTGAAGCCCCCAACCATTATTTTGTGGCTGCCTTTTTGTAGGTCTGAAGGAACTTGTTTTATGAATCTGGTGCTCCATTGTTAAATGCATATATATTTAGGATAGTTAAGTCTTCCTATTGAATTGAACCCTTTATCATTATGTAGTGCCTTTGTCCTTTTATATTGTTGTTGGTTTAAGGTCTGTTTTATCTAAGAATAGTGACCCCTGCTCTCTTCTGATTTCCGTTTGCATGGTAGATCTTTCCCCATCCCTTTTTACTTTGAGCCTATGAGTGTCATTACAGGTAAGATGGATCTCTTGAAGGCAGCAAATGGATGGATCTTGTTTTGTGTATCCATCTTGCCACTCTGTGACTTTTAAGTGGGATTTTTTGGCCACTTACATTCAAGGTTAGTTTTTTTAATTTTTTTTCTTTTTGAGATGGTGCGTCACTCTGTAACCCAAGCTGTGGTGCAATTTGTCTCACTGCAACCTCTGCCTACCAGGTTCAAGTGATTCTCCTGCCTCAGACTCACAAGTAGCTGGAATTACAGGCACATGCCACCATGCTCAGCTAATTTTTGTATTTTTAGTAGAGATAGGATTTCACTATGTTGGCCAGGCTGGTCTCAAACTCCCAACCTCAGATGATTTGCCCGCCTCAGCCTCCCAAAGTAAGTATTGATTTGGAAGTTCAGGACTCTGGCCTACACCCAGCCTCTAGGTTAGTACTGATATGTGAAGTTTTGTTCCCATAATGAAGTTGTTAACTAGCTGTTTTGTAGTTTCTATTGAGTAGTTGTTTTATAGGATCTGTGAGTTATGCACTTAAGTGCGTTTCTGTTGTTAATCACCTCACCAAACTTCTCTGCAAGGAAAAGCAGTACAAATATCAAATTTTCAAAAATTAAATTTCTGTGATCAAGATTACATTCTTATGTTGTTACCATAACAATTTCAAGTAAATGGTTGAGTAAAACAACATAAATATATTACTAATTTGACAAGCAACTATTGACTATAAAAAGAAAAACTTTATTAGAAAATAATTTTTTTTTTTTTTTGAGACGGAGTTTTGCTCTTGTTACCCAGGCTGGAGTGCAATGGCGCGATCTCGGCTCACCGCAACCTCCGCCTCCTGGGTTCAGGCAATTCTCCTGCCTCAGCCTCCTGAGTAGCTGGGATTACAGGCACGCACCACCATGCCCAGCTAATTTTTTGCACCTTTAGTAGAGACGGGGTTTCACCATGTTGACCAGGATGGTCTCGATCTCTCGACCTCGTGATCCACCCGCCTCGGCTTCCCAAAGTGCTGGGATTACAGGCTTGAGCCACCGCACCCGGCCTAAAATAATATTTAATTAGATAGTTGGGCCCTTCTGTTTTTAATTCATTAATATATTCAAGCATTAATATAATCCTAAAATGAGACAGAGTTTAGCATCAATTCTATGTTCCATTTTTTTATAGATGTAAACTCTAAGAAATTCTATTGCATAAATGAATAAATGAGAGTTAAGGGTTTTTTTTTTGTTTTTTTTTTTAAACAGTGATGACTCTTTGGATTTTTTCTAAATATATGCCAAAATTTATACAGTGGTCAAGTATCAAGTATTTTTTCAAAAGTGACAGAACATTGATAACTTTTGAAGCTAGATGGTGGGCATGAAGGGATTCCTTATTATCATTTTACATGCTTGATAATTTTCATAATACAATATTTTTAAATTTGTGATCTATTCATTGATACCTTTATTAGATTTTCTTTAAATTTTGTTGAAAGCCAAGAATTAGAAACTTACTGGCTTGCAATATGATTCATTACTTAGCCATTAGAATCATTTATTTTCCCAAGACAAAAAATCAATATTTTCAATTATCCTATTGTTCAGCGTTCTTAAGATTTTTATACCTCAGGGAAATTAACACATCATTTGGTCAGGTGAAAATTATGTGTTTCTTTTGTAAATTTGAACAAGGGCAATTATGAAAGGAAGAAGGAAAGGGAGCTACCTCTCATCATGGGGTTGTTCTGGGCAGATTAATTTTAGGGGACAGCACATTATGAAGGATTAAAATATTGTCATTTCTTTAAACTCTCCTCCCCTGAAAAGGCTTTAAGCCCCTGGGTCTTGGCATAATAATTTGAAGGCCGCTGGTCTAAGCTACATTTCTCTCTCCATCACATGCCACCTGTGTCCGTGTTTGTTTGCATTAATACAGGAGCTTTGCTTTTGTAATTAGAAGGAGACTGAGGTGCTTTATTTGAGTGAAAATCCTGGTGTCTCTCCTAAAGCAAACACTTCCACTGGATTTGATATCTTATGACTGAAGGGATAAGGGCTAAAAACTTTTCATGAGACTTTGTGAAATTCCCAATAATAGGATGAACAAAGAAGGGCAGAAGCTAATACGGGACGCTGCCACTAGATGCTACAGACTTTGTGAGACCACAGACACCAATAGAGCTCCTAGACTCAGATATGTCAAAAGAGGTCAAAGAGACAGAGTTAGAACCCACGTCAGAGCAGCTAGCTTTGGGAGCAACTAGAAATGTCATCTTCAGCAGGGTCATTGTAAGTTTTAACTTTCGTGGTTAAGTGGGGCATGAGGATTTAAGCCATTGTCATTTTGTCATTATGTTAATTTTGCTTCATTTTGTAATCAAAGCTTATTAATGCCTGGACTTAGAATTATTCTAAGAAAATGAGTTTCATCAAAAATGGAACTATATTATACTATTTCTTGGAAATGTAAGAATTATCAGGGGGCTCAGCACCATTCCAGGGAAGGTATCTACCTTTCTCTCAATGAGAAAAGTTCT